AACCCAGAGAACGCAGCCAAATGGGCATCAAATCCTGTTGATGTGAGATGAAAGCATTTGTAGCACTAATTCTGGCCATGGGAATAAACCGAATGCCCCAATACCGCATGTTCTGGTCAACCCTGGAACTTCTCCGCAACACATTCTACTCATCAATAATGTCACGTAACCGCTTCTCACTCCTTCTTTGGTACCTTCATTTATCCAATAATGAAGCCCCCCGTCCCCAAGATGCAAACCTGTCCAAACTCAGGAAACTTCAGCCGTTTTTGGACTTGGTCATTCAACGATTTTCTTCTGTGTACAAACCTCATCAGAATCTTTCCCCGGATGAAAGTATGCTAAAATTCAAAGGAAGACTCGGCTTTGTGCAATACATGCCGAAAAAGCCTGTCAAGTGGGGTAGGAAGGCATTTTCACTCAACGAATCTGCTACTGGATACACCTGCAAATGGAAGCTCTACACAGGACGTGAGGATCGCCCAGCACCAGCTGGCGCAAATCAGCCCGTCAACCCTCACATGGAACACCCCCCTACCTTAAATGTCAATGGATGTGTCATTCTTGACTTGGTGGAAGGATTTGAACACAAGGGTCACAACTTATTTTGTGACAACTATTACACAAGTCCATCACTGTATGCGAAACTCACGGAGCTTGGATTTGGATGCTGTGGTACAGTGAGGTACAACACACAAGGAAAGCCACAAGCAGCCAATCCGAAGGAGAACAGCATGAAGAAAGGGGACCCACCTGCCTTTTATGTGAAGAATGGGCAACTTTGCATTGTCTGGCATGACAAGAGGCCAGTAACTGTTCTCACAACCATCGGGGATTGCACCCTTACAAACAAACGAGTGCGATCACGCGAAAATGCTGATGGGTTTCAGAAAAGTTGACAAGCCTACAGCCATCGAGGACTACAACAAAAACATGGGAGGGACTGATCTTGCTGATCAATTCTTCCAATACTACAATCACAGCCATCATAGCGTGAAATGGTGGAAACGTGTGTTTTTCCACATGCTGGAGGTATGCCTTGCCAACGCCTCCATCGTGTACAACAGCTTGCCAGACAATGCATCTCTGACCACAATAAAGTTTTGGCAAGCTGTGATCGAGGGCCTGCTTCTGGGATGGGAACGCAACCAGACTCGTCAGGGACGAAGAGCTTCACGTGCTGATCTTCCTTCAAGAATGACAGAAAGAGGGCACTTTCCCTCCAAAACGGACAATGGCCGAAAACCAGACTGTGTCATTTGTAGTGACAGATCCAAGCAGGGGGGACAAAAACAGACATCCATATGTTGTCGCAAGTGTGACAAGGCAATGTGTGCAGTTCCGTGTTTTGAAAGATACCACTCATACGTGAACTACAAAGATGACAGGTTGGATGGGTAGGATCCTGTAGAACGCATGCAGAAATAATTCTGCTTTCGGTCTCAATCATTCCCGTTACTTCATATTGAGCAGTAGTTCGCATCAGTTCATGCAAATTTCAAAATTTGACTTCTGAAATGTAACTAGTAAGGACTTTGTAAGTTCACAACTGAAATCAACATCATCAATAGGCCTATACATGCACATCTTTTTCATGCATGTACAGTACATGTAGTTTTTGTGTGAATGAGCATGGTTCAAAACATGGAACTGTCTGTAGAAGG